TAGTTTTTCAAAAAATGTTTACCATTTAAAAATTCATTTCCGATAGCCTGTTTCATTCTAAACAAAAAATATCTCTTGGGTTTTTTGCCCAAAATAAACCAGTTCGCAGCACCAAATTATTTTACGAACATGCAGCACATGCAGGAATAACTTCAGTGAAGAATCCTGCACTGAAACCTGTTGTATATAATCCAACGCCCTTCGTGGTATTAGCCAGGCGAGTAGTTGTTTTCTGATAGGTGTCAGTCCACCAACCTAGAGTGTAGGGAGTTGAGATTGGCCTGAACAAATTGTTTTTTAGATGATTCAAACTTTAATCATTTCAAATATTAAACTGAAGTAAATGTTTCTTTCTTAAAGTAATCTTGAAATTTCAAGTAATAAAATTCATCGTCAGGTTGTTTTAAAGGCAGTACAACATGACGATAGAATAAAAAAAAAAAGAATATTTGGAATACATGAATAAACTTCAACGAATAATCAAATACATCACGGCAAGGCATAATTTTTAGACCAAAGTCTGGTCTGTTTTTTGTATGATATACGGTTTTCGCATGAAAAATAAAATATATTTATTTGCACTTAGTAATGAAGGGTATTGTTATAGATTATAATGACGCCGAAAATAAAGCGTTGTTTTTGTTATGAAGTTGATTTTGTCGGTTACTACCTAAACAAATTTTGTGTGTCTGTTTTGTGATCACCTAACAGACATACTTATAATCATGTTTTAGATATTTGGCACCAAATATCATGCGTTTTTGTTCCAGTAAGTTTTTTTCAACTTTATATTTTTGAAGTTCTTCACCCTTACCATGGTCACAATATATTTCTGTGCTGACATAAATGCAGCACAACGTGAAAATAATGATCAAGCAACAAAGTGCTCATCGATTCAAGGAGTGTACAGAATGCTTCGTATGTGTCGTTCTCATGAATAAACATTAAACTACTTCGAGCCTCGAGGGTATTCTTTGCCATTGTTTTAACGGATTGTTATTGGTTAACCTCCAAATATAGGAAATGCACCAAGGATTAGTATTTGATTTGATAGACAGAAAATATTTGATTGTGTTCATTGTAATGATACTAACGCCTATCTTCTTCTGATACAATGTGGTTTCATACCATAAACCATGTTTGAAATGCCTTTATTCAAAAATATTTTAGGTACAGCTTAGCATATCTAGCCTCTGAGATACGAAACCGATAAAGAGAGATGTAACTGTCCACTACCAACTTTTATGAGAAGTACAATCAGAATTCTTTTGCCTAAATTCGGCGAGTGTCAACAACTACACATATACCAGAACCATGTACGAGTAAAGAACCTTTGCTACAAGTGGAAAATTGGAAGGAAATGAGTGATGTATAATTGCAAATAAGAGATCCGTACATTCTCATCAGGGATAAACGATTTGAGGGGAAATTGGATAAACCCACACACGATAATTCATAGATAATTCAAAGCATAGGAACTAGAAATGATTATAAAACGTAGCAGGTAGATAATCTACAAAACATTCCTTGCAATATTGATAACACAGGTCTGCGATGAAAAACTTGTAGGATATTTAACAAGTGATTTTAACAGTATTTTGTGTGCAGATTACAGAAAAAATTGTAACAAAATTCTATTACCTATAGATTAAGTCACAAATTCCACCTGAAATTCTCTTATTAAATGAGTTTTTAGGTTCGGTATGACTGTTCGCTCTGTTCCACATGGACCTAACTTACCTATTCCTTCACCTCCGGATACCTTGGACAACATTTCAGACGATTTAGACACAAAAACACATAGTAGGAGTAGCGACAGTGATGACAGCTACGATCCAGGTACCAATGATCCTGAACTTTTCTCTCAATCAGACTTGAACGATTTAGTACGAGATCTGGGCATCCCAAACGACTCAGCAGAAGGTTTAGGGTCTAGACTTAAAGAAAGACTTGTGTTAGCCTCCGGTGTTTCATTTGATGGTACCAATTTAGAAAAAGGAAATTCATTCCTTTTTTTTTACACAAGGGGATGACCTAGTTTTCTGCAAAAATGTACCCGGCGTCATGGAAATGTTCAGCATAACGTATGAACCAGACGAATGGAGACTTTCCATCGATTCATCAAAAAGAAGTTTGAAAGCTGTACTTCTTCACAATGGGAACCAATATGCTTCTGTGCCTGTTGGACACTCAGTCCATTTGAAAGAATGGTACCGAAATCTTGAATTTGTTCTTAATAAGCTCAGCTACTCTGATCATAAGTGGACCATTTGTGGAGGCGTGAAAGTTATTTCAATGTTACTAGGTCAACAAAGTCAAACATGTTTCCAATGTGAATGGGATAACTGTGACAGGAAATAACACTATGCCAAGCAGGTGTGACCAATAAGAAACGGTCTTATTCTTGGAGTTAAAAATGTTGAAAAACAAAGTTTAGTGGATCCTAAAAAATCTTACTTCCATCACTCCATATCAAATTGGGGCTAATGAAACAGAATGCGAAAGCATTAGACAAAGAAGGAGATTGTTTCAAGTATCTTCCTGAAAATTTTCCTGGTCTATCCGATGCTGAACTAAAAGGAGTCTTCGTTGGGCCTAACAACTATTTCATCCTCATTTTGTATGCAAACCTTACGTGATAGATAAAAACAAATGTCATTTTTGAAATCAGCATAAAAATCTACATGAAGATCAGTTAACGAAATCAAAACAATTTTTGAAAAAGTTTTTCTTCGCAAACCTGTGTAATTACGTATCACTATATTCATAGATACAATTCATAGAATATTCTCGAAGATTAGTAGCTTGAAGATTATAATATTGTTGTAAATCATGCCCGAAAAAAAATAATGCCGGCCGCCACTGGTAGCCATAAACCAAACGTGACGTAGCTAAGAGCGCGCGAATATACGATGATTCCCCGCCACTCTAGAAGTAGCGAGAATAATGCTACCGATTTCGACGTAACTTCGGCGAACTTTCTATAGCATTCGATTACGATATTCAAACGCTAGCGGCGAGCATATCGACACAGTCAAGTGGAAGCTACAGTGCGGTACGCGAAGTGATCTAGTAAGATGATAGACATTCAAATAATAGTTGCAGTTTTAGTAGAAGTGTTTGTTGTATTTAAAGTGAAATAAAGTCAAGTTTGATTACTCAGTGTAGTCAATTATTGGTCAACCCATGGGGAAAACGTAATAATATCATTTTTTTCATGCTGTTGATACTTGATTTTCGTCAGAAAGGGTTTCATTTCCGGTGAGATTACCATCTTTATCCAGGGTATGATCACTTCAACCTCCCACAGAATAATTTCTCTACGTACTGTAGTAACACGACGTTCGCTACTCGAGTTCTTCGATGTTAATGAGCTTTCGCCCCAATCTGGCGGGTGATCCACTGCGCGTCTAATATTCAAAGACACTAAGCTGTACCTATGCCGAAATCCAATTTAAAATAGGCCTTGAGTAGCCAATATAAAACACATACTCTCGAATTACATTTCGGTGTGTGCTATACGTAGTGATATATTTCGAAAATGAATACTGTTAGTATTTTGGGGTTTGTATCCGTTCGAAAACTGCATTGAGTATTCGTGGGTATAACATGCTCGTGATCAACCCATAAAACGAATTTTATAACACAAATATCCGTTTCAGGGGTTGAAAATTCTGACCTGTCCAAAAGCCATCCGGGGTTGTTGGGTTGTATAGTCCTTTGAGCTCAGGTTGTCGAATCTTGCTGAAAGCTTCGGAATGCAGTGGGGCTGAAGCTTCTCAGTTGAGTGGCTGCGGGTGGTCATGAATGTCTTTCCAGAAGGTTTTCATCTGTTCAGCGGTCGGAGGCAGTTGCAATAAGCCAGAAGGTTTCTCGCAGAATTTGAGGTTTCGCTGTTTGGTGGTCAGCAGCACGCCTTGACTCAAAGTGTGAGGGATACGTCGTAAATTGGCGGCCATTCGCAGCACTGCGAGCTCAATAGGCATGTTGGTCATCACACATGGATACCAGATGTGTATTGTCCTGCCAATTTCTCCTTCTGTACCCACTGTTCAATCTTTAGAACTACCAGGCTGGTATTCCGCCCTTCAGATTCGGAAAACGACTGGATAGTTGTGTACACGGCTCCATGCATTGGCTTATCTTTGTGTTGCCGCGGGGCTAAAGTGATATCTGCGGTTTTTATTTAGGCCTCTTGCTGGACGAGTCCTTACTCGGTGACAGAGTTGTGATCACCTCGTTCAGTATCGAAAACTGAACCAATTCCTGCTTTTTCATTGTCGGGGACTAAGCAGGGAAGGGGATCCGAACTCTTGATGACTTTACACGATACATCCAGTCATGAAGACACTCCAAACTCGCAAGTCCCCGATATCCTTGCTGTCTGGGGTAAATATAACCGTGAAACGGACGATTTGGGATGCAAACTCCTATGGAGGTGCATCACTTTTCGGGTCTTTAATTCGAGTTGAAACAGCTCCTCCCAAGTCCACTTCACTACCACAAACGAGTAGATTGAGATCGGAACAACAAGCATATTCATAGCAGCAAATTTGTTATTCCCCGACTGTTGGAGTTTGTGCTGATACTTGCGGCGGGTGCTGTTCCCTCTTTTGATCTATTATTATCATTGTTATTGTATATTTTGTATGTGCTAGTTCTCATTGAAAATAATGTGTGATTTTTTAATGAAAAAAATCTCGAATGAAGTTGCTTGGCTGAACAGCAGTTCACTATTTAGCATCCTTGCTCACTGACTATGGTGTGAAATGAACTTGACTTTCATTTGGCGCTCGCGGATGATTACAAAATAACAATTAGCTGATGCTTGTCAGCTATCAAGATTCGGACGCTTTTGTTAGTTTTAAGAATGATTATTCGGTACATTATCTGTTTAAAATGAGCATTCATCTTACGGCGGTTACACCTAATTTTACTTGACAGTTTACAACATTGTTTAACATTATTTTTCGGTTCATTCATCACTTGTGTTTTTTTCCAAAATTTCGAAAGAACAATCATTTCAACACATCATTTAGTGACTTGATGCATAGCACACGCAATATATTCCACATTTTTCGTTGTCACCCCAGCTATAGAAATGCGCCCATCTTTGGTTAGATAAATGTGGTGCTCCTTGGTTATCTTATCGACCTGTTCCGGCTTCATTCCTGTATAGCTGAACATTCCGACCTGCTTGACAATGTGATCCCAGTTGTGCTTGGAACCTTCCTTCACCAAAGCATCACGAAGAGCTTTCCTGATAGAAACTAACCTCTGAACCATCCCTTTCATCTCTGCCATCCACTCTTTCTTCAGCTGGGAGTTTGATAAAATTTCGGTGACTATTCTGGCTCCGTGAATGGGAGGATTGGAATAAGTTGTTCTGATCAAAGTTTTCAGTTGCGAAATTATTTTCGCTCGCTCTTCTTGGGAGTCGGCAATAACCGTTAGAGTGCCGGTTCTCTCCCCGTAGAGGCCTAGGTTCTTCGAGTAACTTTGCGCCACAGCAAATTTCAGATTGTTCTTCGAGAAATGGCGAACCGCGAATGCATCGTTGTCCGGGTTCTCAGTGGCGAAACCTTGGTAGGCCATGTCAAAAAAGGCGAACAGTTTCTTCTGCTTGACAAGCTCACAAAGTTCTTCCCACTGCTCCTTGCTGGGGTCCATTCCAGTGGGGTTATGAGCGCAGGCGTGGAACAGAACCATGGAATGCTCTGGTACTTTGCAGAGATCTTCCAGCATCCCATCGTAGTCTAGCCCAAACGTTTTAAAGTCGTAATATTTATAGTCCTTGGTTTCCAAGCCTGCGTTTTTGAAAACTGGTGCGTGATTTCCCCAGGTCGGTTTCGGCAAGTACATGGTTTTAGCATGTGGAAAAAAATTTTTCGCGAAAGACGCAAATAAACTCAGGGCTCCCGTTCCTGAGAGGGTTTGGACAGTAGCGTTCAAACCCTTCTTGCCTACCTCATTGCACGTGCCAAAAGCGTAATCGAAACTAAGAGAGTTGAATTCACTTAATCCTTCTGCTAACGCGTATTCCTTATTGAGATTTTTTGATTTCAATATTTCTTCCGCCTTCAAAACACTAGGTAGAACATACGGTTTTCCATTGTCGTCTCTGTACGCCCCTACGGAAAGATTGATCTTATGAGGAGTTTCGTCTTTCTTGAAGGCTTCTACAATTCCAAATATGCTGTCTGGAGGAGCCTTTGGAACTCCGGACCACCATGTTGAGGTTTTTCTCTCATGCCTGGATATTTTTGGTGAGTTTCTTCCTAATAGAGTTTCTACTACTAGAGTTGGGAAATAATTCTGCAAATGCTGCATGTTATTCCGATAAATTTAAATTCGAGAAATCAATAGCTCCGTTTGCTTCTACACTAGAAATTTTGCTGTCTGTTTAGATTACTGATTTTGACAAGTAATGTCAAAAGATTACAGTAAGAGTAAGGGTAGAAACATGCAGCCTAAATCACCATTAGCCTTAGCATCAACATTATCATTAAAAAGTTAAAATATTGCTTTCGCTTATTCAATTTGATAGAGCATTAACTTATTTTACATTACATCGAGAGTAGCTCATGTAATGTGAAATGTTGAAATAATTTTCCATTTTTTGCGCATTCTTCAGCGCACATTCCATTGTAATATTGTATTATTTCGTTCTATGTCGTCTCTGTCAGACATATCTGTTAATATTTGAACGATATTGAATTTGTTGTGACTACCATAGCAGGGGAGCCCACGATGTAACGATTAACTCGAGCGTCATTGAGACATATTAGGTTGCAAAGCTTAGATGATGAGATGAAAAAAAGGTTATATAATATATACCTTTTCATCGGTGGGGGAAGCGGCTATAGATTTTTAAATATGTAAAAAAATACTGTTGTATGGACATACTCGAGCGCGTCAGATATTGATAGCATCAATGTCCTACGTATTTTCAATAATGTTGGAATGGTAATCTGATCGTGTGCATGATGTGGGTGGTTGTACGTAAGGGTTAAACGTGAAAGGAAAAAAAATTAATCGAGCGCGTCAGATTTTCTAAAGGGGTGTTGAGTGCAACAAAAAAAAAGCTCTCATTCAATAATCTGACGATTTCGATCTGACGAAAACTCGTGGTCATTATTATTATGAATGAATGAATGAAAAAAGGTCGTCATTTTGAAATACTCACGCGCGTCAGATTAAGATATATATGGTTCATCTTCATGTTTTAGACGTGCTGTCTCATAATCTGACGATTATCTAGAGGGATTCGCTTAATCTGACAAAAACAATTGAAAAAAAAGATTAATTCGTTGTACTTAATTCATTGAAAAGCTCAGGAAATAGCATGCAAATAAATAAGAGTAGGTTTTTTGGTTGAAATGGCTAACTAATGTTGTTTTCAATTAATCGAACGACTCAGAGGTGGGTAAATCCAAGGACGGTAGACCTCTTGAAGTACCGTATGATACCGCACCAATTAAGGTTAGGAACATTGTTTTTATCAGTAACACTGTTACATACAAAGAGTTGCCCCATATTGTCTATATACGACGAAATATCTGACTTACTAGGGTTGAAACACTCAATACTCCTGATGAAAGACATCTCCAGCTAGACTTTGACTTGACTAGTTGACTAATGACTTGACGAGTAATGATTATGAGGACTGGACTTACTGACACGAAACACATTCTTCAGGAAATACTTTTTATTTAATATTTTGACTCCTAACGGCAACGTCAAACTTACCATGCATAGAACACTAAACTATCGATAGAGTTCATTAAGGTAGGTACACAACAATCTTGTTTCAGATTCATTAATTCCCGTCAAAAATCATTCGCTGTCTCAGGGTTCGTGATACGAAACTTGTTGCAATTTCTGCTCGAAATATCTCGATCATGCAGAGAACCAATAACGTTTGGCATGACGGAAAATCTGGAAAGGATCAGTGCAAACAAAACGCACAAAAATTACATAAACATTGAAATTGTTTCCAAGCAGATATGTCCTTTTTCATGTATTTTATATAATTCTGCAATGACTAACCTTCTTGGGTTGAAATGGCTAACTAATGTTGTTTTCAATTAATCGAACGACTCAGAGGTGGGTAAATCCAAGGACGGTAGACCTCTTGAAGTACCGTATGATTCCGCACCATTTAAGGTTAGGAACATTGTTTTTATCAGTAACACTGTTACATACAAAGAGTTGCCCTATTTTGTCTATATACGACGACATATCTGACTCACTAGTGTTGAAACGCTCAATACTCCTGATGAAAGACATCTCCAACTAGACTTTGACTTGACTAGTTGACTAATGACTTGACGAGTAATGACTATGAGGACTGGACTCACTGACACGAAACACATTCTTCAGGAAATACTTTTTATTTAATATCTTGACTCCTAACGGCAACGTCAAACTTACCATGCATAGAACACTAAACTATCGGTAGAATCCATTAAGATAGGTTCACAACAATCTTGTTTCAGATTCATTCATTCCCGTCAAAAATCATTCGCTGTCTCAGGGTTCGTGATACGAAACTTGTTGCAGTTTCTGCTCGAAATATCTCGATCAAGCAGAGAGCCAATAACTTTTGGCAGGACGGAAAATCTGGAATGGATCAGTGCAAACAAAACCCACAAAAATTTAAATTGTTCACATCCTACACACACGCTGATGAACATAGACTTGATGACAAACACCGTTGATAATTCAAGATTCGATAGATTCACGAAAGTGATTCAAAAACACCGAGAAAATTTCATGCTTCGACATTGANTATTAGACTTAGTATTAATTAGAGATTTAATGGTTTTCCACATAAGTTGTTGGTTCTTAGAGCTTGAATCAATTTTATTATAATAATATTCTTGCTTTTTAGTTTTCAGTAAATTAACTACATAGTTTCTTAGACTTTTATATCTTTCCCAGTTGACTTCACACCTGTTGTGTTTAAAAACTTGGTATGCTTCATCTCTTTGCTTAATTATGTCTTTTAGGTCCTTGTCAAACCATGGAAGACTATTTTGGTGAGAAAAATACCTCTTGACTGGAGCAATTGTGTTGACAGCATTTACAGTCTTATTAATAAAATCCTCATAAAATATTTGAATGTCAACACAGTTTAGTAAATAATTATTGTCAATTAATTCCAAACAAATTTTATTCATGTTTTCGTTTCTCAAATTACGATAACTTTTTAGGGTTTTTGGTGAGTTGGATATTCTATTGTGGATATTCTATTGTTGTGTAGTGTTCTATTTTATTTGTATTTTCTAGGGTTTATTAAACACAAATATGGGCTCAATTGCAGCAGAGGTTGGGCAATAAGCGCTTCTTGCTGTAGGCTTAGCCTCAATTGACCCATTTCTACTTCGAGGTTCACAACAGCCGTGCACAACCGTAACATGGTCATTAACCTCCTTAACGTACAGTATAGACCTCTTACTGAAACTCAAGAATGGCGATCCTGGAATAAAAATAAGGGAAATACTGAAAGATTATATTTTATGGACAAATGAAGCTTTGACGTTTCTTGTCAATACAAAAATTCATTGTCGAGTATTCAGAAAATTCCTGTGAAAAAGTCAAATGCGTCGATTAAACCTGTGGACACCCACATAACTCTAAAATGCAATCAATGCGGAACTGTATTCCCAAAAAAGTGAACAAACTTCCTCTCAGGAGAAACAATGTTGGAAAATTCAAGAAAAGAAATCACCACACATCATGGTGGTCAGAAGTGCCAATGGCTCCTCCTGACAGCATTTTTGGGATGGTAGCAGTGTTCTTAGAAGACAAGCATCCCAATAAACAAAACTTGACTGTTGGAGCATATCGAGACGACAACGGAAATCCGTATGTACTTCCTTCCGTACGGAAAGCAGAGGAGAAAATGAAATCAGGATATCCGAGTGAGGAGGAAGAATTAGGAATAGGATCCGAAGAATTTCGCTCAAAGAGTTTCGAGTTCGCATTTGGGCCATGCAACGAGATAGCTGAAAATGGTTTGAATGCTACTGTGCAAACTCTTTCTGGCACTGGTGCATTGAGCCTTGTAGCAAAGTATATAAAGGTGCATTTTCCACAAGCGAAAGCTATATACCTACCTCAACCTACTTGGGGAAATCACGCAGGTATTTTCAGGCACGCCGGGCTAGATATTCAGTATTACAAGTATTTCGACTACAAAACTTTTAGAGTGGACTTCAAGGGAATGTTTGAAGCCTTCTGCAGCATACCAGATGGGTCGGTGGTTCTGTTTCATGCCTCTGCACACAACCCCACCGGAGTAGACCCTACCAAAGAAGAGTGGATGGAGATTTCAGAGCTCGTGAAGCAGAAGAAATTCTTCCCCATCTTTGATATGGCTTATCAAGGTTTCGCGAGCGAAAACCCTGACGACGATGCTTTCCCAGTGCGTCATTTTGCGAAGGTCGGCATAAAGTTAGCGTTGGCCCAGAGTTTCTCGAAGAATCTGGGTCTTTACGGTGAAAGAACCGGTACTCTCACGGTTTTGGCTGGCTCCAGAGAGGAACGAGACAGAATCCTGTCGCAACTGCAGTTTATCATAAGAACGACATACGCGAATCCTCCAGTTTACGGCGCTAGGATTGTCACCACACTGCTATCAGACCCGCAACTGAGAAGCCAATGCCTGGAAGAGATGAAAGGGATGGTGAGGAGGATAGTCTCTGTGAGGAAGACCCTTCGCGATAATTTGGCAAAGGAAGGTTCGAAACGTAATTGGGATCCCATAGTGAAGCAGATTGGGATGTTCAGCTACACTGGCTTAACACCAGCACAGGTTGACAAAATGATTAATGATCATCACGTTTACATGACTAGAGATGGTCGCATGTCGATTGCCGGAGTGTGCTCAAAAAATGTGGAATATGTCGCACGTGCTTTGCATCAAGTAACAAAGTAGAGTTGAGTGTCCTGTCGGTCCTCGTGATGCCGTAATAGTTTGATTTTTTTTGTTATCCGTATCGGTGTACTTTTGTAGGATATTAAACCATTAAAATGTCTACTGAATAACTCACAAATTGTTTGGGGGAGGAGAAGGTTAACCCGAGTGGTGTTAGAAAACGATCTGTCTTGAAATTTTGAAAATAATATCTATACTAATATTATTAATGTGAAAGGTTTTGTGTAATTTTGGTCAAAATATAACCATTTCCACAGTAACTTGTCGTATTATAGAATTTGGCCTCTAAAAATAGAGCTGAGGAATTGCACACATATTTATTTCAACGTTTCGGAGGCTAAAATCTGCCTCCGTCTTCAGAATTGAAAAAAAGATGATTATTTGCAGTTATTTCTTTGGTTCGCTTTATTTTCCAAACTTCTTCGACATATGCTGAGAGTGTTTTGAAATATGACGTATGCCAATGCTGTTGTTTGAGTTCTGGAACATTCGACATACGTATATCAAAGGAAATATAGCTTTTTATAATTGAGGCAAAAGTTTTCGAGTGAATTTTGGGTTTTGAAAACGGTAAAAAATAAACTTTTTTTCACTGCCAAAATAATTCACAAAATAAACAGTCATTTCAAGCACTTAATACAAAAATAATTATTTTTTCACGGTGAAAATAAGTTAACCTTTAAGCATCAATAGAGATGCAGAAATGTCAAGTTTTTTTGACAGATGTACAAAAAAAAGTATTCAAATAATTACGCAAAGCTGTGCCTGTTATTAACAGAGAACAAAAGAAAATACAGGAATTTCAAGAGCACCTGCTCTTTTAGTTGATGCACCGAAATCTCCGTATCGACGAGATTCTTCGCCAATGCATTAAGTATGCTTTCTTCATTCCGTTACGCTGTTTTGGACCGATCATTACTACATTTAACGGGTTTGTGGAAGAGAGGAAGTTCGACTTTCCAAAGGCATAACTGGGGCGACAAAAATATTTTTTTGATGAGTAATTCATACTTTATTATATACTTACTCAGGGCACGAGAACATATTCCTGTGCTTGTTGCCAGTGACTACGTACGCGTGGACTGCAGTTTTTGGGTTATCCCAGATTTTTAACAGCGAAATTCTCTCATGTATATAGCTTTCTATGTTTTGTAGAATCATTTCACAAACTATAAATCAGGGAATAACAGAAGGGAATAACAAAAATATCCGATTTTTGTTATTGCTTACTTGAAAATTACGATTTTGAAACTCGAAATTTCGACTTTAATTTCGTAATTTCGACTTAAGTCTCGAAATTTTGTATAATTTTCGGAATTTCGACTTTCACCCCTGAATTTTGACTTAAAACCGAAAATTCCGAGATTTTAGTTAAAATTCCAAGTTTAGAGTCGTAATTTTGAGTTTAAAGTCGAAATTTCGAGTTAAAAATCGAAAATTTCAATTTTAAGTCGTGATTTGAAGTCAAAATTTCGAGATTGAAGTCGAAATTTGAGTTGAGAGTTGTAATTTTGAATTTGAAGTAAAAATTTTGACTTTAAACTGGAAATTACGAGATTTGAGTCAAAATTCCAAGTTTAGAGTCGTAATTTTGACTTTAAAGAAGAAATTTCGAGTTCAAAATCGAAAATTTCAATTTGAAGTCGTGATTTAAAGTCAAAATTTCGAGATTGAAGTCGAAAATTTGAGTTGAGAGTTGCAATTTTGAATTTGAAGTCAAAATTTTGACTTTGAACTGGAAATTACGAGATTTGAGTCAAAATTCCAAGTTGAGAGTCGTAATTTTGACTTTGAAGTCGAAATTTCGAGTTCAAAATCGAAAATTTCAATTTGAAGTCGTGATTTGAAGTGAAAATTTTGAGATTGAAGTCAAAAATTTGAGTTGAGAGTTGTAATTTTGAGTTTGAAGTCAAAATTTTGATTTCAATCGCGAAATTACCACTCCAAACTGAAATATTTGACTTCAATCTCAAAATTTTGACTTCAAACTCAAAATTACTACTCTTATACATAGATTTTTAACTTCAATCTTGAAATTTCCAGTCTAAACTAGACTTTAATTACGTAATTTCACAATAAAGTCAAAATTTCGACTTTATTTTCGAAATTACTATTTCAAACTGAAATTTTCAACTTTAATCTTGAAATTTCTAGGTTAAAGTCGAAATTGCGAGATCAAAGTCGAAATTTCGAAATTGAAGTAGAAAATTTTACTTTAATCCCATAACTTCGAGTTTAAAGTAAAAATTTCAACTTTAATCTCGAATTTACGACTTCAAATTGAAATTTCCGACTTTATTCTCAAAATTTCGACTTCAAACTCAACATTTCTATATTAAATTACAAATTTCGAGATACAGTATAAATTTTTAAATTGTAGTCGAAATTTCGAGTTGAAAGTCGACTTTAATTTCGAAATTTCTAGTTTAATGTCAAAATTTCGAGCCTAAACTGGAAATTACGAGACTGAAGTCGAAAATTTGAACTTAGAGTCGTAATTTCGACTTAAATCTCAAAATAACGACTTCAAACTGAAATTTTCGACTTTAATCTCAAAATTTCGACTTTGAACTCGATATTACAAGTCTTAACTGTAATGTTCAACTCCAATTTTCTAATTCCGAGTTCAAAGTCAAAATTTCGAGACTGCAGTCAGAAATTTGAGTACAGAGTGGTAATTTCCAGTTTAAAGTCAAAATTTCGAGATTAAAGTCAAAAATTATAGTTTGAAGTCATAATTTTGAGAATAAAGTCAAAATTTTGACTTCAAACTCGAAATTACGAGATTAAAGTTGCAATTTCTAGTTCAAATTCAAAATTTCGAGTTTCGCTTTCGTGATAAATATGTATAATTAACCAAAGTTTCAGCCAAATCAAACTGAATGGTATTTGCATAGTATTACATCAAAATGTTAAGTGAAGCTCATTTTTTGAGATCAGCATGCACAAAAAGCAAAAAATTCATCGTTTTGGTTTCTATAATAAAGACCCCTATATGAAAGTGTTTCTCAATAGACTGTGATCACCCACACTTCTTTTATATGTATTGATTTTGAGAACGCTGCTGATATCAACAACGATAAAATCATAAATCAAAATAATTTTACTTGTTTGGATTTAAGTTCACTCTCTCTCATTCACATGATTTTTATGGCATCTGCTTTCCTCTTAAGGGAAACTTCTAGAACCTTTTTTGAATTGTTCGAAGACATTTTAATTTTTGTTTCTTATAATGGCCCTAGCATCAAAACTAACCAGTAATCACAAAAACAATGTTTGCGTCTATTTTTTCGGCGACAAAAAATGTGGAAACATCTCCTAATTACCACCTCACTTGGAAATATTTGTTACCACGAGACAATTCACTTCATTCATGTACTTGTATTATGTAGAATGACAAGTCTGAAGTGCTTAGTTTCAAAAAAAGTTATCTGAAAAATCAGACATAAATATATGCTGAATATTATAATTCAGTGTCCATGAATATTTGAAGATTTCATTTCTTATCTTTGATAAGGTACTGTTCAATTTTCAATACGGACTATATTTCTCAGATGCATTTACAGTTCGAATGTGTCAATGAAAGTTTATTCGAATATATATCATACATTTCACTGTATTATGTTTTTGATTTACTCTTTCTGACGTGATTCTCCGAATAAAGAATCCCACATTTCTATACATTCAATTCGGCCACGGTGTATCAAAATATTTGCACCCGGTAAAATGCTATTAATCAGACTACAATTAGTCTTTGTACGCCACTGGCATTGTATAAAATTAAATCAAGCAGCGACAGCAACGCTCACGATATGCTAAAAATATTTCGTCGGTGGCGTGCCAATCAAGAAACGTTTATAGAAATTGTAGTTGAAACAATCACTTGGATGAGTATGTGGAAGACGAGCCAGCGTCGAGCTTAAAAAGACGATGAAAGCGACGAATTGCCTGGTGAAACGGCGAAATATTTCACCGGCGTCTTGGAATTGTTTTGTTTTTGAACTGGTTGAAACGAAAGCGAGAAAATGGAGTGGCCAATTCGCAAGGTTGACAACACAAACAACATTTTGGTATTTTCTCAAGACTCATCCACAAAGAGGAACACTGGTTTAGGAGAAAATTCAAAGAAGCCACGTATATGTTGTCCAACAACGCATTGTGTCAAGTTAGCGTAGAGATACGTAACATATGGAAACCTATAATCAAGCGAAAAACGACCTACTTCTGCCAAACGGTCATCTCCCGCCAAAACCAATGAAGTGGAAAAAGGGGATAGGTGAAAGCACTCGAATGACCTATAAATACTCAGATCTCGGAGGAACAAGTCCAGTTATCACCCGAAGACGATTGTGGATACTAACAATCGAAACGTTGTGACATAACTTGGGTTATCAAATCGGTTTATTTGTGTTAAGTCTGACTCGCAAACGGTTTGAAATGAAAAGTGGCAAAATGAAATGTTGCAATAAAATATGAAAAGAGGGAAATAAAACTTCTTATGTTTCACTTGCATTTGTAACTACCGTTACTGCAGTGTTGTAATAAACTGAAAAAATCAACAATGTCAACCCTTAAATATCTATATACCGTTGTTGGTAACAACAGACGGTCCTCAACTTGATTGAGTATCTGAATTTTGTTTAGCTGTGACAATGTGGGTAGGCTAATCTGTAAACCGGCTAATAGGCTAAGTCGATTTGGTCGTTTAGCAGGTTCCATTCGCAATGCTTATGAATCTCCGTGATTCCAAATAATTGAGTTTGCAACCCTTCCTTGCAAACTGGAAAATTTCCGTATCGTTTGCATTATGAGGAATTGTTTGAAAATGTCAAATAATTTTCACGTAGTCTGAAGGACCTTTCATGTTCGGCATACCGTTTTGAGTAATTTTGACCCACATTAACACTATCTCACTTCGGGCACTTGAGCTTATAAACCTAATAAACTCCAGATTTCTCCATCTTGTCCACTTTATCTTTGGCATTTAAAAGGAAATNTTT